TTATCTCTCAGGGATCCACCGCTGAAGCCAGTACATCTACTCCTCATTTGACAAGGTGGTGTGATGGTTTTTGATGATGGGTATTTATTCACTTTTTCATATTCAACAAATATTAATTGAAATATTACAATTTTTTTTGACTAGAACTTTATTACTGCCATGAATATAGTTGTATAAAAACATAGTAGCGAACCACCTAGGAAGCTAACAAATATGTATGCAAGCATACAGGCCAAAACCAATATAATACAAAAGACTATTAAATCTGTTTTTTTAAAGATACAATTTAAAAATAAAAACCATTGTTATTGTCTTAGTCTGTACAGAATGCATTTAAAAAGAAAATCAGTTAAGAACAGTCTGATACTTTTAAAAGTTTATAAAAGAGCATGTGGGGGCCCAGTTTAGGTAATTGAGTACTTCACAGCGGAGTATGATTAAAAGTGAAAGTGATCCATTTCACAACAGCGACTATACGTACGGATACGTGTATCATGTGCTACATATACGTGTTCTCTCTGTCTCACACACACACACACACACACGCACACATGCTACAACACAAAATGTAGTCTTACCCAAGATTTTCAGGGTCAAAAACTCGATTCAGGTCACAGTCAATATATCTGGTACACTTCTTCACTGCTCTTGGGTTGGTAATAAATGGTTTTACCTCCAGCCCTGTTCTCTGAATCTCAGTGCCATTCTCCAGCCAGCGCTTAACTAGAAATACTCCTGTTAATTCATTGCCATGAGTTCCTCCAAAGATAGCAACCTTTTTTATAGGATCTTCAGTAACATGACAAGAAGTCATTTTTGTCAAGTAGTTTTACCTGATTTCTGCAATTCAGAAAAGAGGAAATCAAATAGAACTTAATTTCTTAAGAAAAGTTTAGAGATTTAAATCTAAATGATACTTTAACCAAAGTGCAAAGTGCAGAGTTCTCTTGAGCGGAGTATAATTTAATATTCTGTTACAAGTTCTGAGCCCTGTTTATTATAGGGACACTCCCTTCCTTAGCCCTGCCCTTTACCATATTTGGATTAAAATATGCAGAGATGAACTAGATACAGCTGTTTAACTTCTTACTCCCTCACATGGTCAGTAGATCTAAATGCAATAATAAATTAGCCTCTCATACTAATACAAAAATTCTGGTTTCCTTTCACCTATAGCCAATGTCACCTAATGGTGCTTCCATGACTATCTGTAATAGTAAAAATAGTTTATACTTTTCTAATCCTCAAAAATATGAAAAAAATTAAAAATCTATAAAAAATAAAGAAGGGGCTCATAATATGCATGCTATGATTTGCTATTTATGTTTCCACTCACATTTCAAAACATTTCTTCTCTGAAATGAGTTCAGAGCCTTTTCATTATCTGAGCACATTTGAATCTCACCTCCATAAACAGCCAAAGGCGGAGAGATCCTGAGAGACCTCCTGTGGAGCCAGCACCATTTCGTTCAGTATGCTTATTCATAGTCAGAGACACAACAACCAAATAAATGATCACTAGGACATAAAAAGCTACTTTGAAATATGTCTTAATTTCCTTCTCATGAAGTTTTCGGTAATTCTCTGTCAATTTCTTTAGGAATCTTTCCCACGTTTTGCCTTACTATTAAAGGAAAAGCAACTGTGAATAATTTTCAAGTCTTCATAATGCCTGAAAATGTCTTGGGGCATGCTATATATACTAACCGAATTATGAGTTTATTATAATACACAGTCTAATTTACTAGAAGCCCAGACTCTTCGCTGGAATGTGTTACTCAAGCGGGGGGGTCTTATTAGGGGAAACTATTCAGAATACTAAGATGATTACATCCCTTTGGAGAAATGACTCTGAACCAAATCAGATTTGATTTCATGCTTGATCATCCAGAAAGACAAATATGTTCAAGTTCTGGAAATACCATGTACTAGTAGCGCCAGATTGTTTGATAGGGATACAAGAGTAATTCCTCACAACCTCAGAGAAGTTTAATTTGTAATTAAATTTCCCACATTGCCTCAGTTTATTCATATATTTACATTATAAGACAGGGTGGGTTAGGCATTGACATGGCCATTGTAGTGCTAAAGGAAAAGTCCCTCAGCTACCAGGAGAAAACTGGGCCGGGGACCCAGGTTTTCTGATTCTAAGCCCAGTGTTTTTAACAGAACAGGGTGCTTCCTGTTATTTTTGGACTTCCCCAAAGTTCTAATTTTGCTCTTTTGGAATTCGCATAAACAGCTACTACAGCGTGCTCAGGAAACAAAAAGCATACAAACAAAACAGATGCTAGAATGTAAGATGTGAATGTTTCATAATGTTTAATAAACCAATCCCTATGTTCTTCCTTAGGAGATTATAATGCAGAGATAGAGAAAGCAAAATAATAAAATCCAAATTTACACATTAAAATTACTGTTCTAACCTAAGAAAAAGCCCATGTAGCATTTGATTTTTCTATCCACATCAATGTACACTGAGCACTAATGTAGAGATGCTCAAAACAAAAGCAAATGTAAACAAATTATGGTTGTATTATTTACTTTGGTCTTAAAAACTCTAACGATGGTGAATTATTAACACTTGATTAGGTGTTATTTCTTTTCTGATTTGTGGTTAGTTCTGTCCTTTGCCCTAGTCTCTCTGGAAATGCTGCTTTGGTTATTTACTCGTAGCTGGCACAAATGACTTGCATTTCGAGGCTTGTTTTATGGAATTTTAACAGATCAGCACTTTGAAGCACATTTAACATTCAGAAATAAAGTTTCCCTTACATGTCAAAATGAATAACTTTTTTTGCGAGCTAGTGAATTGCAGTAATTCTGTCCTATACTTACCTTGTTTATTGTGTACAGAGTTGGTCTTCTGCGGAAAGCTTTATTAGAAAAAAAAGAGAGCATTTCCTTAGAACTAGAGCAACAGAGGCTTTTCATACTCTTATACCAAGTTAACTTCCGAAAGATTTTTAACTCCCTGTTTCCCAAAGCACACTAAATTTTTGAGCCCTACAAAAACTACAAATTTTCACTAGTCTAATTCTTTTTTGAGAGTTCAGAGAACTGATGGTGTATAAAGTAGAACCGTTTCTAGTTATCACTATTGATGAAGTTTTGGGGGTGACAGGGTTGGGGGGGGCAGAGCTGACGGCCAAGAAAGAATTCTTGAAGACGCCTTTGGTGCAAAAACGTGATTTTATTAAAGCACGGGGACAGGACCTGTGGGGGGAAAGAGTTCGCTGCACTTGGGGTAGTGACAGGTAACTCATCATATACCTTCAGGTTGGGAGGGGGTCAGGGTTAGAGTAAGTCTCTAAGGAATTTTGGAAGCAAAGTTTCCAGGACCTTGAGGGGCTAGCTGTTGCTAGGGAAATGCCATTTATTACCATTTAGTAAAACCTCAGTCATGAGACCCTTCAGATTCTATCAGGGGGCCATAAGCTTGGAGTATGATTGCCAGCATATCTTGGGGGAGTTGAGAGAAAGAAGTTTCCAAAGGGATTTTTATATGCGAAAGTAGACTTACAGGATCCTCAAGGTTGGGATGATGTTAAGCCAAGATTCCCTTTTGCCCCCAACAAAGTGTCATCACTCAGGCAGCTGAGATCCTAGAGGGAGGTTACTCTGCCGGTTTCAAGGACTTGCCAATGGACTGTAGGCAGTAAGGGAATTTAATTTTTCATTTGTCTTAGTTTCCCACATCACCATGGCAAGCACTTAAACCCCTTTCCTTTGTTCTTGGGTAGCCAGAAGTGAACAAGGAATATCACACATATTCTACTTGGGGGGTGGAGGGGCGGGCGGTGGGGATTGCTGTCAGCTTGTCCCATGCTCCCTCAACACTGTCTCATTATTATGTTGAATATTTAATGTTTTGAAGTATTTAAAATAAACCTAATAATTTCCAGCACTATAAATGTTTTGTAGGGATAGCGGTGCCTGATTATTAGTAAAATAATGTAGTATGAAACAAAGGGAGAATAAATTTTTCATAGTCTTGGATGTCCAATAAATCCACACAAGAAATTTTGTGGCAGATGCATTTAAGATGTTGTTTCCAAAATAGTATGGCTGAGGGATAAGGAAGATCTTCTCTCAATATTACATATAAGGTATCTCATACATAATGTGGTTGTCCAGCAGTCATGTAATCAAACTACTCTATTTTTTCCTTCCCCCATGGACCTCTTGCTGTCACCCATCCGGACCAACTTTCCAGATGGAAATAAATAAATGTAACCAAAACAAGACAGGGATAAAATAGATAAGTTTATACACAACTAGTAAAGATTCCACATTGCTCATTCTGCAGTTCTGCAGTAGATTTAGCACAGCGTGTTGTCCATAGTGGGCTTAAAATATTTTCTTTAAATGAGAAATCCATTTGGGGGGCACATGGGTGGGTGTTATATGTGTGTGTGTGTGTGTGTGTGTGTGTGTGTGTGTGTGTATGTATGCATGCACACATGTATATGTTAGGTCAAAATCTGCTTCCCTAAAGCTTTTATTCATTTTCTAATAGTCTCCTCTTTGAGGGGGGGCACCTGGGTGGCTCAGTTGATTGAGCATCTGATTCTTGATTTCAGCTAGGTCATGATTCCAGGGTAGTGGGATGGAGCCCCACATCCGGCTCCACACTGAGCCGGAGCCTGCTTAGGATTCTCTCTCCCTCTGCCCCTCTCCACTTTTTGGCACTCTCTCTCTTACTCTAATAGTAATAGTAATAATAATAATAATAAAATAAAAAATAAAAGTCTTCTCTTTGGAACCATGACAACTAACAAGTCTTTTCAGACATCTTATGCTGTGAAGTCTTCTCTTTTCCAAATTAAATGAAGACACAATTACTTCAAACTTATTCCTGAGTTTGGCATTCATACTCATTCTCCTTCTTTTGACCTAACCTTATAAGAAACTAGAGATTACCCTGGAACAATGCAGGGGTTAGGAGCGCTGACCCCCAAGCAGCTGAAAATCCCTTATAACTTTTTACTCCCTAAAACTTAAATTACTAATAGACTGCTATTAACTAGAAGCCTTACTGCTAGTCAATTAACACATATTTTACATATGTATTAAATATCGTATCCTTACAATAAAGTAACCTCCAGAAAAGAAAATGTTACTAAGAAAATCATAGAGAAAATACACGTACAGTACAGCACTCTAAAAAATCCAGCTATAAGTGGACCTGTACAGTTGAAAACTGTGCCGTTCAAGGGTCAACCGTACTAATATGTTTCATGGTCTCAAAGTCCTAGGCCTGTACTAACAACCTTCTCTCCATCTGTAGACCCTCCTCACATTTCTGTTCACCTCTCCCAGGCTTCAAATGGCGAGAAGATAGAGTAACAACATAACATGGCCTTTGACTTCAGACAGAGCTAGAATTACTATTCCTGGCCTATAGTAAGGACTCAGTGAATGGTAGCTACTGTTATTGATTACAGGCTAACATTTACCGAGCATTTACTGTGCCCCAGGGCTGTTCATTTTTCTCTTTTAAGAGTTTTAGGGGAACTGAGTAAATAGTTATACCTGCTTTACTGAGAAGAGAAGTGTAGGTGTAGAGGGGGTAAATAACTTGCCCAAGATCATAGGGCCAAGATCAGAGGCGTCTGGCCAGCGCCAGAGTTCCGGGTCATTGCGGCATTCCACTTCCTCTCCCGGCCCTTGAACACCCTTTCCCTCCACTGAGCTCTCGCACAGTGCAGTCCCTGCTCTTAGAGTTGCAGGGCCCTCCTCTTAACCGGGGCCTCAGCTCTCCAGGGGCCTCAGCGCTGCAGCCAGCCAGCCGCCAGATGACTAATTCCCAGCCCACACGATGCAAAGTCAAACAAACCTTATGACCTGCTTTTCAGGCCCGAGGCCTCGTTATTCTCTTCTAGGCGAACCTCCAATGTCTTACAAACGTTTTAGGTTTTAGAACCTAAAAAAATGTGTGCGCTGGGGAAAGGGGAAAGAGGAGTGTTGGGCCACCAGTCGTGGGTACGTCTCAGCGGTGAATAGAACGGCTCGTCCCTAGAGCCATCCGGCGCCTCGTACCTCACAGCTGCGAGCAGGAAGGACAGGCGCGTGAACATCTTTTTCTCACCGTCCACTGAAAGGATTATGCCACAGCACCCGAGCCCCAGAGGCGGGTGGCTCCTGCGCCTGCGCAGTGGGCGGCGCGGGTGCAGGTGCGCTTGCGCAAAGCTCGACTTCTCGCGCTTCTTCAGAGGCCGGGAAGTCAGCGGTAGCTGACTGGGCTGTGTTGGCGACGTCGACGACGACGGAGCCGGAGCGAGGCGAACGGGTGACAGTTGTTGGGGGTTGGGAGCCTGAGGGTTAAAGTTGCGTGTCGTGTTGGCCCGAGGGCCAAGAAGGGAAAGAGTGTATTGTCTCTAGTTACCAAACTGCCCCAGTCCCTGGGTCAGGAGAGGTGGTTGGAAAGAGAATGTAGGCCTGACTGGACCGCTCAGGAGTGGCCAAAATAGGCCCTCCTTGCCTCCATTTGAGCTAGTGGCCTTTGGGGGCTGTGTGTGTGTGTGTGTGTGTGTGTGTGTTGACTGAACAAACTTTTTGCATGTCGACGCTGCCAACCACCTAACTGCCGTTAGAGTCCAGTTAGAAGCTGGGGTGGGGGCACCTCAGCATCCCCGGCCCTCCGGTCTGGGGGAGGATGTCTCATTTTTGTTGATTTTGTTTGCATGGCACTCAGAAACGTAATGACCCTTGTAAGCCCCACTCTAGGTTCATGGTGTGAGTTGCGTTGGTATTTCTGTGCGGAGAAAACGTCGTGTAACCTCAGTTTTGCTTCCTAGAATGACATCAAGAATATTTTCTAAAGGGCCCGCGATATCCGGCTTCAAGCCCAAGATTTGGAAACAAAGCAGAGGCAGTCCCTGCCCTTATGTTTCCCCATTTTTATTTCTTTAAGTGATATTTGGAAATTTGTTCACCTCAGTATGATTTGCGGTGTTACTTAGTTGTTTCCTCACTGGATAATGAATTTAGGAGCAGAGATTACCTTATTTAGGTTTGTATTTTGCCTTTTCATGTAATAGGTGTTTGTTGCATTAAATTGGGATTGAAATATATTAGGAGGAGGCTAAACATGGAAAAAAAATTGCAACAAATTTTGTTGTAGAAGAAAAAACAAAGAAAAACCTTGTTTCACTTGTTGAAATTATATAGATTGAGTAGAAATTTATTATTGCAATTAATCTGGATATTGAGGCCTTAGTCTTTGGTATTCTGTAATACAGGGATCTCCAGTTAATGGCCAAAGCAAGTGATCTGCACAGTGTTTTAAAGTGAGTTGGAGCGTGTTCTCACGTGGTTAGTTCACTTGTGTAGGTTTCCTCCCTGGCCTTGCGAGCATATCAGTTTGCCAGTGTTGTAGCCATTTCCCTCTTTTATAAATCTGGTTCAGCATCTTCATTGTGGGTTTTTGGTTGTGAAACATGTTATGTGGACTGTGTGGAAAAAAAAAATGTATGTTTAGGCAGCAAGGTTATAGCCACCTCAGTCGTAACCAATTTTGAACAGAGTTGGAAAAATGGATCATGTTGTAAATTCTTATTCGGGAAGCAGGGTTCTGTAAAGTGTTTACCTTATTTTGAAGCCATAGTGTTAAATCAAAATTTCAGTAATTAGTAGGCTGAGAATTTGATTTTTTCGTTGATATAATGTGAATTGCATATTTCTTGGAAGGTTTAGTCAACTTCATTTGTAAATTTGGAGTGCTAAAGACAAAGTTACAGATTTTAATATTGAAGGAAATGAAGAGAAACCTAAATGAAAATTCAACTCGAAGTACAGCAGGTATTGAACAACTTTTATTTTTAAATTTTCTATATTTTTATATTCCATGTAAATCTTGTGTAGTTTATAGAGGGAACATTTTGGAAGGAACTTTAAGGAAGACTGAACATATAGTCTAACCTCTTTTAGGTGCAAAGAAGTAAGATAACTTACTCAAGGCAAAATAGTGACAGAAGTGGGAGTAAAATGAAACTTTCCTGGATTTACTCTAGTGTTCTTTCTACAAACCTTATGTGTTTGAGTTCTGCACTTTTAAACTGAAAACAAAAAAAAATAGGCTTATTTCTATTTGTATTTGTGACCTACTTATTTAAAATATTTCCAGAAGCACTTCTGTCTCCGTAACAACTTCCCTTACCATTTCTTCTTTCCCAATTTATTAGTTAGTAAAAGGACAGATGGTAAAAATGAAGAGAACCAGGGAAATGGTGATAATGCATCGTGAAGATAGTAATAGCTGTTGGATGTACTGTGTTCTGGCCATTATATGTATTATTTTATTTAATTTTTACACTGGCCCTCTGGGATAGGCATTATTATTAACATCCCTGTTTTCCAGATGAGAAACTAAGGCACAGAAGGGTTAAATCAGTAACTTATGAAGTGGCAGAACCAGCATTTGAATCTAGCTCTAGATGCTAGGCTCTAGCATCCATGCTCTTAATCACTATATTATCCTGCCTCTCTATGTATGTCATATTAGCACAATGAGTTTAAGGAAATTGCCCAAGTTTATATTTTGAAGTTGTGATTCAAACCCACGCAGTCTGATTTCAGAGCTCACATAATTTTCCCAGCTTTTCATCAGATAGTTATCACAGAGACTATATTCTCCCATAGTACATGTTGATGGACCAGCTAGAGTATGGTCTAGTGGCAAGATACCTGAATTGAGATTTGGGAGCCTTAGTTTCCGTTGTGGCACTGTGCAAGCTTTTTGGATCCCTTTTTTGCTCTGAGATCCCTTCTAGTTTTAGTGTTTATAAATTCTAACTCTTGGCTTGACTTGAGGTCCCGGGCCTCCCATCTGGATAGCTTGGAGGTAATATTTATTTATTCTCATGTGGACTGGATATTATCACTTTAAGGCGTTCTAAAAGTGACCCACAGACAATATGCATTAGAGACAACTGGAGTGCTTGTTAAAATTGTAGAGTTTTGGATTCCAAACTAAATCTGCTGAAGTAAAATCTATGACAGTGGGGTCTAGGAGCTGGCATGTTAAGCACAAGTCTGTGTAAATCTTGGTCAAATGAGAACTGTGGCCCTAAAGAGTGTGCTATCATAGTATAAAGAGTGGTTAGGGTTTTGGAAAGCAGGGATCAAAGTTTGGTTCTCCCTCACTTCTGTTGTATTTAAAGGATCCCCTCCAGTTGACATGGTAATAAGCAAGCACAGGAGGGAAATAAGGAAAACAAAAAGTGGATTTAGAAAGGGTCAGGGGGTAAGGAAGGAGATGGGAATTACTTTCAAACAAGAGGAATTAAGTCAGTGTTAATGTAGAACAAGAAAGGAGTTTTTGTAGAGACAAATGAGGCTATTTGGGATTTTAAAAAGAATGTAAAAATCAATCCAAAGATGTAGAAATATATTTATAATAAATATAAAATTAACATACAGTTGCATATTATACAGTTACTCTATAACTAGATCGACTATTTGCCTATTATGTACTAATTTATTGATATATATAATTTAGGCTGTTTGCCTGTACCATTGTTCAATCAGAAAAAGAGGAATAGACAGCCATTAACCTCTAATCCACTTACAAATGATCCAAGTATCAGTACTGCTTCTGACAGTTATGACTTCCCTCCTTTACCAACAGGTAAGAAAATAAGGTGAAAATAAGAATGAAGATTATAGAAAATTACCATTTTTATTTTATTATAATGGAAATAGAAAGTTTACTTTTTCTTCTTTCCACCATCCAAATACAGGGATTACTTGGCTCTTTCTGAACATTCCAGTACAGTAGTTTGAGTTTCCTTGTCTACAAGGATGGCTTAGCATTTAAATGGAGTATCTTAGATCTGGAGCCTTTGTTCTAATGAAGTTGTAACCCACATTGTAAAGATTTGTGTTTTTCTTTTTCAAGATACATGGATATTGTGACTTAGGCATGTGGTGATAAAGAATGGAGAAACTCAAGTTGCATCAGGAATAGGGATAAGTATGCATGTGAACACAGGAAAAATGGGGGTAGCAGGGTAGAAGCCTAACATTTCTGCTGCTTGGCTTTTTTCTCTTCTCTTAGCATTTTTGCCTTTCTTCATTTGATGCTTCATTTCTCTCATCCAGTTGGCTTCCTTATAGCTTCAACTAGCCCATGAACTGAATTGCCCTTGCTGGGAGTTAACATAGCCTTTTTAGTTCTAGTTTTCAGAGTCTACTGTTGACTGCCTTCTGTATCTTTTGATTAAATTCTAGAGACAGAGAGCCTTTGGTTCAGCACATCTTTTTCAGTGAGGTCATTAAAATTCTGGTTTAGCTTTATGATTAGGCCTCTCATCTCTGTAACTATTAGCTGTGGTGGTGGGTGCAGAGAGGTCTTAATGTTTGCTGACTTTTTATTTCTCTTAAGAAGAAGGCATGGATAGGCAGGTATTCTGAAATATACTTGGTATATGCTGGTTATATACATTTATATAATTTTGAGGATACTTTAAAAATCTTTAATAGGCTCTTTTGCAACTGGATTTTTAAAATCTCTTTATATATATAGCCACATATAAATATAAAATATATATATTTGTTAATTTCATCCAATGTGCTACCATAGACCTTACTTAGTCTGCTTCTAAGCTGTAATTATTTCCTTTCATGTTTGAGGAATTTAAAATAGGAATTTTATATTACTCATTTTTATGGATAAAAGATAAAAATTCATATGGATATACATAAATGGGCATTTATCTGGTCATCCTCTGCCATCTAAAAAATTTCTCTGACGTTTGAAATATTTTTATAAATAGTATGAATGTTGGCCTTGAAAAATAACAGCATTTGGAGCTACTCCATAGGGAAATGTTCATCCTCCTGAAGTACTGAACTGTCCAAACTCTGACCAGGATTACAATCTGTCAGAGATCTATAAGATTCTTATACTGGGTAAAAGATAGGACTAGATCAGTGATTTTCAAATTTGTGTCTTGATCCATTAGTCCGATTGGGAAAAAGTTAATCTTTAAAGAAGGAAATAGAAGAGAATAAAGTAGAATAGAAAATATGAGAGTGCATCACAGATATAGTAAGGATACAAGTTGATGGTGCAGTTTTATGTTCTCTCTCCTTTCTCTCATGCACACACATACATACCATGTGTATGTGTATATATGTGTGTGTGTGTGTGTGTGTGTGTATGTTTGTGTGTGTGTATATATATATATAGAGAGATATATATATGTTCTGGGCTATGATGTAGTTTTATTTCAAGTTATTTATTTATTTTGAGAGAGAGAGAGAGAGAGAGAGAGAGAGAGAGCACGCACAAGCAGGGGAGGGGCAGAGCGGGAGAGAGAACCCGAAGCAGGCTCCACGCTGTCAGCCCAGAGCCTGATGCGGGGCTCAAACTAACGAACCATGAGATCATGACCTGAGCTGAAATCAAGAGTTTGGCGGTTAACCTACTGAGCCACCCAGGTGCCCCTGGGCTATAATGCATTTTTTGCTGTGGGTTGGGGTCAAAAAAGTTTAAGAAACATTGATTACGCTGAATTCATGTTACAAAATACAAGGTACTATATATATACTAGGATTGATTGTGGAAAAGATACAGATTAAACTATTATCCTTGTTTAAAATACAGTGGAGAAGAAAGACCTCTATAAAAATTAATAAGGCAGGCTGTGACAAATTCCACAACAATGCTATTAAAGAACACATACATAGCTTCAAGTCCACTGCTTATTCAGGCTTTTAGTTTCCCATGAATTAAATAAGTATGAAATAATTATTTTTTAAAAATGTTACCTATCTTACTTTTATCTATGTTATTTATATCTTTTGAGATTGGGCCTGGGAAGCTGTGAATCCAGAGTTGCCTCCTTTAGTGAAAACACTGAACACAGGGTATGTGGAAAAATGGACACTAGTGACTGTGTGTGTCTATTATTGACTGATGTCATTTTTCGTGTACATTTTACATTTCTCAATTTGGAAACAAACTACTAATATTTATAAGACATGTTTCCTTTAAAGGCAAATGCCACATTCAGTTTCTCCTCCCCTGAGAAGTCAAGATTCTATGTCTAAGTCTATTCAATCTATTCAATCAAATACTGAAAGAAGCAAGAGTGGTTGGAGGTGAGTTTACTTAAGATTTCTCTTTCTTTTTCTCCTTCCTTTCTCCTCCTCCCCTTCTTTCCCTCCTCCTTCATCTCTTTGTCCTTGCCTAGACAAAATTACATTTAGAAAATTTTTATACTTAATAATAACCAACTGTGTGGGCTCACCTAGGACTGTAGTTTTTCCAGGGCTTGTCCCCAGGCCAGGAGCACCTCCTAGACAAAAGCATCGGAGCAGGTTGCAGATGTGTTGTTTACCAGTAAGGAGTTGGGAAGCTGAAAGAAACTTTTCTAAACTGAGTAATACAAGTTATCCCATAGTCATGGAAAGACAAAATTATGTTTCTGTTCTCACTATTGGAAATAAAATTGCTGTCATATGAGGAGGTGATCGATGTAGGAAAAGTTTTATAGAGGTGTATCAGACAATTAACTAATAAAAATGCCAGTAACATTTTTTCCTGGATATTGTGATGTTTGCGATATTTATCACCTTTTAAAATTTTGTAATTATTTGTGATTTCTTTTCTCATTATTTTCATACCTACTTTTGCACCTAATTTACTTGAGAAACCTCTTCACATCATACAAGCTTCAGGCCCCATACAGTCTGGACTTGTGCCTGGTCTCTAGGAAACCAGGACCTTTTCTTGGATTATTTTCTCTAACGAGGGATGAGTTGTGTTATTTGCCCCCTTGTGATCCTGGTGATATTTTCAGAAAAATTATTCAGAAATGAGAATTTGTGACCTGGACTAGTTTTTCCTTGTGGAACTCTTAACTAGTATGCTCAGAAATTATACTTTTGATTTTGGCCTCATTAACATTATGTTCTTATCAGTTCTGATCTCCTCATAGATTAAATTGATCCAACTCCCTTAGATTAATATAATAAAATCCTGCAACAGATTCATAAGTTGGGCTTTTAAGCTATGTAGTAAAAGTACAAAATTTCTAATTAAATAGTTACCTATACTGCCTATATTTATTCTCATTATTTAGAGTCATCTATAAGCCATAGTTTAACTTGTAAAAATTTTACTTTGTAGAAAATTTAAAAATAAATATATAAAGAAGCAAGAAAATGTCCTTAAAATCTTACACTCAGAGACAACCACTGTCATATGAAGGCTTATATGGTTTAAAAATATACTTTATAGCACTGGAATCTGCGTGGGGAGAGTAGGATTCTCTGGGTTCCAGATTGATAGTAACTTGCTATATAACTTCATGCAAGTTGTTTTGTCCCTCAGTTTCCTCACCTAAAAAGAGAGGTATAATATATTGTAGAGTTGTTATGATAATGTATTTGGAATTTCCAACTAGTCAGTAGTTACAAGGTACTTTATAAACCACAATTTTTCACTATTAATTTTTTAAAAGGAAAAGTATATAGAAATAAAAACTAATATTAATTTTAAACTATTACAGCTACAGAGATGACAACAAAAATACTAGCTGGAAAACTTGGGATAGAAATGATTTTAGGCCTCAATGTGAAAGGACAAACTTAGTGGCAAATGATAGAATAAATTCTTGTCCAAGGAGTTGGGGAGCTCAACAACAGAAACAGTTGAAAATACCCGAACCTCCTAACTCATCTCATCAAAGAGAAACTGAAGTACTCAGAGAAACACATTCATCAAAAATACCTGGCTCCACAATGAGAGGTCTAGACAAAAACAGTGCATTACAGGCATTTAAGTCTAATTTTCAACAAAACCAATTTAAGAAGAAAATGTTGGATTATATTCCAGAAGAAAGCACTCTCAAGGTAAACTTTTAAATATGAATTATTTACATTTTTGTATTTACATTTAAAAAATGAGATAAATATTTAGAAGTTTACAGCGATAAGAGCATTTAAAATCAATCCCATGGCATGCATTTCTTGGTTAACACAAATATCTAGTTCCATTGGAGTGGATGAATGTTCATTTCCAAAATATTTTCTTAGAGGTTGTGAATGGCCGCTCCTGTTCATGGTTGCTTTAGAGTATCTTACCGGGTTCTGAATTTCACTGTTTATTGATTGTTGGGATGATGAGTTTATCCGTTACTTATAGAAATTCTCAAAGTTCTTCCTTAAAGGGCCAGATAGTAAATATTTTTTACTTTATGGGTCATATAGTCTCTTAGCTATACCACTCAACTCTGCCTTTGTAGCTTGCAAGCAGCCATAGACAATACATAAATGAATAGGCTTGGCTGTGTTCCAATGAAAATTTACAAAAATAGCAGGATAGATTTGGACTGCAAGTCAGAATTTATTGTACCTTTCCAGTTTCGTATTCCATAATCTACTAATTCTCCAATACACTAGCCATTTCAGACCCTTCACAATTCTCTGACCATGATATGCACTCTGTATATTTTTCTCTATATCTGTACCTCAGCCTTATTTCCTCCTATCACCACTCTTTGCTCTAATTGTTCTTTGTAAATATCTTTAGTATATTCTATGTGCTGGTTGTTCACTACCTTCCTTCCCTTGTGCCCTGGCTCAGTAGATTCTTTACACTCTACTCTTGTCTGTGTTTTGGAAGGCTGAATTGTCCTACACAGTACAGCATCCTGAGGTCCCTAGGCTAGCTCCTGTTAGGGATCAGCCAGTTGGGGTCACTGGCAGGAAATTAGAGGGTGGGGAGAAAGTTTGGGGTTTCCCATTTTCTCCCTGTTTAAATGTTGTGTCATAGTCAGTAGCTGATCCTAAATGATACAGCCCCTCCATGAGTCCACCTTTCACAGGTGTGGTAATTTTATTTCATCCCTTTGTCCTTTCAGCCTAGGAGTGACAGTAGTTTCTTATTATTGTTAGTCTTTGAGGGCTTAAGTACCCTGTGCTTGTTCTGTACATACACTCGTAAGAAGTCTTTTCAACAGAAAGTGTTTTTTTTTTTTTTTTGCTAGAAATCTGACTAATATAGCATATATCACAGTGGCTTTCAACCTTATGTTTCCTTGTATACAAGAATGATATGACATAGTTTACCTTAGTAACAGTTGTTCATTATGGCAGTAGCTCTCAATGGGAGGCATTGGTATTTTGGTTACGAAGAGGAGGAGAAAGAAGGTAATTGTAGTTGGAAAAAAAAGTCCCATCAGTTGTTCTTTGATGTGTCCCCACCCTCACAAAGGAAAGTACCCTCCCCTCCAAATTAATAACTTAACACACTGTATTCTTAGTTGATTTTTTAAAATGCCAAACACAATTCCCATCTCAGGGACTTTATACTTTAGTGTTCCTCAGTCCTCATTTCATCAACGTATTTAATAATTCCTGTCTGTCTTTATCCTTTTACCCTGTTTTTAAAAAATGCATAGGATATATCAATTCCTGACATTCAATTATGTATTTATTTGTTTATTTTCTGGATCGTCCATTAGATGGCAGAATCTGTGAGGGTAGATATCTTGTCTGTTTTGTTCAGTGTTGTTTCCTCATTAACAATATTTGGTGCATAGTAACTGCCAATGAGTACTTTTGTAATGAATGAGTGAATGTGTCTGGCTCCCCTCTTAGAGTATTAACACGTTAGGGAAAGGAATTGTGTTTTACTCACCTGTGTTTATCACAGGATTGGCACACGATTCTTTAAAAACAAGTAAACGAATGAATGTCCACATGAATAATTCTTTGCTTTAAAAATACTCAGTGAATAAATGAGTGATGAATGTTCATATAAATAATTCTCTTCTTGATTAATGGTCTCTAAGTAATCCTAGTTTCTCCTGCTATAAAGTGCTAATGATGTCTTTAATTTAGGGGAATAACTGTACTAAAATTATCAGTAGTGGGTTTTGTTGCATATATTACACATTTTATGCCTGGGGACCTAGAATCTTTAACATGGAAAGTGAAAGAGTATGATGAAAAAAAAATGAAAGGATTTTCTAATGCTGTGTTTTTATTTTTTCAAAAGGAAGACTCATTGTATCAGTTAAAGCTTAAGGAAAAAGATAATTCTTTAAGAATTATATCTGCAGTGATTGAAAGCATGAAGTACTGGTGTGAACATGCACAGAAAACTGTACTTCTTTTTGAAATATTGGGTAGGTATGGTACTTCAAAAAACCTCAGTAATACTATTTGGATGATAATTTTGAATGTCAATAGGAATACCTAGGGAACCTTAAAGAAAAATAAAATTTGCAAAAGGAGATTATGTTTTATTAGGATTTTCTTCAATTCCTGAATTTGTCATTGATTTGGGTGACTTAAGATGTATTTGGTTATTTATGGTAATATTCTTCTGATTTATAATGTTAAAACTGGAAAGATTGTTACAAGGGCTCTAAGTTAATCCTTGAGGTAGGTGAAGAAATGGGGCAATTCATTAGAGTACATTTGACTATAACAAAGCAAGTTAGCTGCAGAAATGGATCTAAAAACCAAATCTCCTTTATTCTCAATCTGGTGTTCTTTGTACTATATTATACTAAATCCAGTAGTAATTTCGTATATAGTTAAATCATATTTTAAATACTCTAAAAGAACATCTATGAAGAATCCTTTAGTGATAGGAGAAAACACCCTATGATTAATCTGTTTCTTAAATTATTACTTAAAAGTTTTTAGAATGTTTCAAGAATTTGGTTTTACCTAGAATGAAGAGATAAACAAGAAATAGAGACTCAAAACATATTTCTTTTAATTCAAATAAAATAAATATTTAATACTGTTTAAATTATTTAATATTCTAAATATATAGAAAAATAGAGAATATAAATATCCACATACCTATGTTATAGATCTATTTGAAGCCCCCATCCTTGTTTCTTCTTCTCTAGAGATAATCCCTGTGGTATCTTTCCTGTCCATGCTTTTATAATTTTACTATGCACATCTGATTTCACAATTTATATTTTTTGCTCTATGTGTTTTAAAATACATGTATTAATATTCATCTAGAATTATGTTTTTGATTTTAGCCATCTTTCTGTCCTATCACAGTGTTGGCTTCATCCTGAAGCTCCAAATGTGGTCTCTCCAGCACTTCTGACTCTTTCCTTTGGTATTAAGATGACTATCAAAATTTTCTGTACCACACATGCTTATACCACACTGTCACATTTGTTGATAGTTCCTTCTCCTTGTGTTTTCCAGAAACTAGCAAATGACTAGCCAATCTTGAACTCTGTAGCTGGGAATGGGATATGCTGATGGGTTAAATTAGTCTCCTGGAGGGGCGCCTCGGTGGCTCAGTCAGTTAAGCGTCTGACTTCAGCTCAGGTCATGATCTCACAGTCTGTGAGTTCAAGCCCCGCATTGGGCTCTGTGCTGACAGCTCAGAGCCTGGAAACTGCTTCAGATTCTGTGTCTCCCTCTCTCTCTGCCCCTACCCTGCTCATACTCTGTCTCTCTCTGTCTAAAAAATAAATAAAAGCAATAAAAAAAAAATTGAAAAAAAATAAATTAGTCTCCTGGATCTGTGGGTCGGTCAGATCCTATCCAAATCATATGGCTAAGAATGACATAGCAGAGGTTTCCTAAAGGAAAATCTGGGTATTATTAGGGGGAATGGAGACTGACCTCAAAATAACAAATGTTCACTGTCAGTACTCAGCAGGTGGTTATTAAAGAATGAATAATGCTCTCATTTGATAATTTATTGAAATAAACATGAAATATTATTTGCATTTTATATATGAAACAGATTTGAAAGAGGTTAAACAATGTGCTCAATTTAGTTAAGTTGAACTGGAATGCAAATAAATGATTTCTGATTCTAATTCAGTGTTTTTTCCTTCATTAAACCATGATGCTTATTCATTATATTTTTGTATTTTATTATTATAATATAGAGTGGTCTGAGGATTTAACCACTCTATAGAACACACCATAAGAAAAAAAGCATCAAATGGCCAAATATTATCAATGGTATGAACTTTTGCACATAACCTGTTCCTGAATTAGACAAGGCCAAAAATTTTGCTTTCCTTGGTATAAAGCAGTTTCAGAAATGTCATTCCCTCTTAAAGTGTTGTCTTTATTATTGTATAAATAAAAGTAGGAGAGCTTGGTGTAGGAACAGTATTTAAATGTCTCTTCTCACTGTTAAGTTTTATTTACATTTACCAACTGTTTCTCCCCCCCTCCCCCATTTTAATGTTGCTTAGCTGTTCTTGATTCAGCTGTTACACCTGGTCCGTATTATTCAAAGACTTTCCTTATGAGAGACGGGAAAAATACTCTGCCTTGTGTATTTTACGAAATCGTGAGTATTTGTTTAAATATTTTTTGCAAAGCCTGTGCCAACAAAACATACAAATGTAGGCTGTAATTACATTGCAGTAGAAATTCTGTTAACAATTTAGTAGTACTTTCAGCATTTTGTTTGGTTTTAGTTCTGACAAAGTTTATTTGTTTAGCTAATCTAGAGAACCTACCTGCACCTGCCAGGTGCTGTGCTAGATACAAAGGATACAAAATGGAGTATAAGTGCTAAATAGCTTTCTTTCAAAGAGTTTATTACAATCTCAGGTAGAGAGACTTACATAAATGTTAAACCGTGGCATGATAAATGGTATGATAGAGGAATGTGCAGTGTGCTATAGAAGTAGATAGCAGGGATGGGGCAGATCAATTTTTGAAGAATGCAGTAACCTGTCTTATCTTACATATTTAAAGACTAGTAAAGCCAGAGTGTGTTGGGGGAGGGGAGAAGCGTGAGGAGTGCATTGTAAGATGGGAGGGCAGCATATGCTAAGAGAGAGCGTGGATTGTAGAGGAAGCTGCAAGTAGTTTATAATTACCAGAGCCTGGAGTCAGTAAGTGATGGGGGTGAGGATAGTGGCTTTAAAATTGAAGAAGTCAAAGAGTGGGTTGGGATATAGAAAAGACTCTTTGTGACAAAGAAGGCTGAGGGTGACAAAGGAGGGTGGAGATCACAAAGGAGGCTGCAGACTTTTGACTTACATACATTATAGAAGAGTTGGGTATTAATTCTGAACTTGTCCTTGATTCCAAAATCAGACTTGGATTCCAGTTTTTACTCCCACCATTTACTAGTTTTATGACCTTGAGTAAAGCTACTTCAACTTTACGAGTTTTTTTAATCTGTGAAATGGGGAGACTAATTCCTACTTTGAAAGGTTATTTTGGAGATAAGATGATAAAACATGAATGTATAGCATTTGACATAGAGTAGATGATCAAGAAATAGTAATTATGTTATTAATTTCTGTAATATTTTTAATACTTAGTTTTCTCTAGTCTGATAAGCTTAAAATTTTTTATTGAAGTATAATATATACCTAAAAGTGTAAAAATCATAATTGTGCAGTTCTATGAAGTATCTGTGAAGTGTCACAAAGTGAACATTAACAAGGTTAAGAAATAGAATATTGTCACCCTATGTATCCTTGTGTCTCCTCACACTATCTATCTCCTGTCTCTACCTAAAAGTAACTACTATCCTGACTTTTAATATCACAAATTAATTCTGCTTAGTTTTGAACTTTATATAAATAATATTATATGGTACATCTTTTATGTCTTTCCCTCAACACAATGTTTGTAAAATTCATCTGTGTTGTTGCATGTAGCTATAGCCCACTTATTTATATTTCTATGTACAGTATTCTGTTGTAAAACAATTTAATTTTCTCTCCTACTGTTGGTGGCATCTGAGTTGTTTCCAGATTTTTTGCTGTTAGGAATAATGCTCTGGGAATATTCTTCTGTATGTTTTTCATGCATATGCACGCATTTCTGCTGAGCATCTACCTAGAAGTAAAATCACTGTATCATTGTGTATCTGTATATTCCAATATAGTAGTTATTCACCAAAGAATTTTCCAAAGGGTTGTACAGTTTACACACTCACAGTCAGTGTAGGTGAGTTTTAGTTTTTCTGTATTCTTATCAACACTTAGTACTGTCAGTCTTTTTTGTTTCAGCTATTCTAGGGGGTGTTTAGTGCTGTCTTACTTCTTTACATTCCCTGGTGACTAATGAGGTTGAACACCTTATATATGTTCACTGGCCACTTAGATACCTTCTTTAAAGTCTGTTCAGGCCTCTTATTCTTTTTTTCTATTGAGTTATTGTTTCGTCCTTATTTATTTAGAGGAGTTGGTTTTGTTTTTGTTTTTTTGTTCGTTTTTGTTTTTGTAACTATTCTGGGTACAAGTTTTTGTCCATTATTTGTCTTGCAAATATTTTCTCATACTCTGTAGTTTGCTTTTTCTTAACGGTAGCTTTTGAGGAACAGAAATTCTTCATTTTAATATAGTCCTTTTAGCAATTATCAATATTACCCCTTATAGCTAGTGCTTTTTATGACCATTTGGTGAAAGCAATTCCAGAATAATTTTATTCATGGTTAAGAGGAATTGATGCTGGCTGTGTTTTTCCTGTTACTGTTTTTTTTTTTCCTGTTTTACTAGTCCCATTAAGGCATGGGTCCTTTTGGGTCCTAACTCTAAGCTGGGGGTGATGGTGTAGGTAGTGACCAGAATCTCTTTTCCTTGTGGACCTCTGACTCTGTTTTTTATCTCCCGGTCCTGGGAGCCTGTCAAAAACTGTGCTCAGTTTTTTAGACTCTTAACTGCCTTGACTATACTCGATACAGAACCTCAGTGAGAAACATCCCTAAATGTCAGGCCGCATTCTGGACCTCTGTCTTCTCCCAAATGGGTGTCTCTGTATTCCCCCACTGCGTTGGTATCTCTCTAATGTCTACAAGAAGATCTAAATATTTCATCCAGTTATTCTAGTTGTTCTTAGCTAGAGACTTGGCCTAAACTACCTGGTCTACCATCTACTAAAAGTGGAACTCTAGCAGTCTAATAGAAATGAATAATTCATGTGCCATTACAGTGGGAATTATTCAGTCTTTTAAGAAGCAATAGCTCACCAGCTTGTAAGGAGCCCTACGCAAGTGAAGGTCTTTCCTCTGTGACAGGGCACCCCTATATGCCCAGCTATTATGGTCTTGTCAGCCGTGGGGCTCTAAGGCAGCTGAGGGAATTACAGCATTTTGAGGTGGTTGATATTTAGTTGATTATATTTTTAGTTTCAAAAAATTGAAATTCAGATGAAGTAAAAAAATAACTATTGATATTTATTTTTTTAAAAACAGGATCGTGAACTTCCAAGACTGATTAGAGGCCGAGTTCATAGGTGTGTTGGAAATTATGACCAGAAAAAGAATATTTTCAAATGTGTTTCTGTCAGACCAGCATCTGTTTCTGAACAAAAAACTTTCCAAGCATTTGTTAAAATTGCAGATGCTGAGATGAGGTATTATACTAATATAATGAGTGAAATTTAAATAGTGATGAAGGAAGTTTAAATAGTATAATTTAAAGCATTTTTGTTATTAAGTTATCATCTCCATGGTTTTATAGCTACTGTTTTTCTGTATTTCATTTGTTGAATTAAAATATTTCAGTCCTTTTAAATGTGGGAAGAGTTTTTTTTTATGACAGTGGTGCATTTGCTAAAATTAACCATTTTGGATAAAAATGTTCAATATAATAGGAATAGATACTTATTTAACATGAAGTAATAATGCATTTGAGTCAGCACAAAAGCCAACATCAAGCCTAATGGGGAAATAAAGAGACGTTCCCTCTAAAGTCAGGAATAAGACAAGGGTGCCCACTATCAGTACTGTTACCAGGCATTATACTGGAGCTGTTAGTCTATGAAGTTCATTTTATTACTTTAAAGTATTTAGTAAGCATGTATTATACATATATATATATATATATATATATATAATTTGCCTTTAATTCTCTCTTCTCATATCTGTCTTTCTAAAATACATTTGCACTCTGGTCTTTCCTCTCTACATCCTCTCCCTGCCCTCATTTTTTGGATCTCTATTGTTTACCTGTCTATGAAGCAAACAAGTGGAGGGGAGTGATAATCTCCAGCTTGAAAAATAATCAGGGTGGAGGAATCCCTCAGAAGGTGCATGAAAGGAGGATACAGAAGATGATAGCAAGTTCCTTTCTAGCTTTGTAGTTACTGCTTTATAGCAAAGATTCAGTTGTGATGCCAGTTGGGAGATCACATCCAGAAACATTCATGTACGCTCCTTTAAAATATGGTATATACTTTGAACCAGGAACCCATATGTGGTGCTATTTCTTCCATAGCTTTGATTCATGGGTCCAGGAATCAAAGGGTGGTAGCAGGACTGAGTTTTGTTATTATTAGACCAAATAATGTACTCACAAAATTTTTGCTTCCCACCCCCACAATTTTGGGCTGCTAATTTAGAGATCTTATGTTCTGTTGTAGTCTGGTTTGCCCCAAATGCAGACACTGAGACGAAGTCTTATTATTCACTAGTAGTTTATTTGGGACTGTTACCTCACAGGGGAAGAGACAGAAGCAAAGAAGGGAAAACCAGTAACCCGGGTGGCTTATTTAAGTTGGCCACTACTGGGGTGTATAAGACTTGATGAAATGCATCATAGGATCATCCACCTTAATGAAAACCGGGGAAGCATATATTCATCAGCTCCCACTACTTTTTTTTTTTTAATATTTATTTTTTGGGAAAGTGCAAGTTGAGGAGGGATAGAGAGAGGGGGACAGGGGATCTGACAGCTGGCAGCAGCGAGCCTGATGTGGGGCTCGAACCCATGAACTGCAAGATCATGACCTGAGCCAAAGTTGGATGCTCAAACAACTGAGCCACCTAGGTGCCCTGCGACCACTTGTTTTTTAAGGGTTGGCCCATGGATCCTAAACTTCCTTACACTTTCGGGTTGTGTACAGATGAATATTAAACTGGCTTCCGATGGTATTCTACTCCATGGAAGCAGGAAAACCATATGACAGGATGCAATAAGCAGGTGGAGCAGGCCTGAGGTAATGCAGTTAGATTGTGTCTCCATAGAGCTGGTTGGAGTCTACAGAACTGGTTACTGCAGCTGTAGCTGGAATAAAAGACCGTCTGAAGAGAATCTGAAGTGGTGCACAAGAAGTGTCTGGTGCAGTTCCCAAGGAGTGCTTTAATGGTTTTATTCTACTAGAAGCTGAGACTGCCACTTGGCCATTTTAAGTTCTTTATGTTACTGAACCAACAGGCAAACAAAGGAGTGACCATACTGTCTGGAGTAATTCAATCCAAATTAACAGTAGAAAAATGAATTTCTCTACACATTGAGGAAGCACTGTCATACCCAGGAGATTCTTTGGAGTACCACTTAGTAAAATATAATGGAAAACTACAGCAACCCAATAAAGGCAATAACACTGAGGATTCAGACTCCCAAGGAATGAAGGTTGAATATAAAGAAACCATCTAGCTGAAGTCATACATATAGAGGAAGTATAGAAGAAGGAGTTATAAATACTAGCTGTGGCTTTGTGATCAATGCAGTGTAAGAAAGAGCTGGAAACTAGATAATCTGACACATATGGAGAATGATAGAGGTGATAGTGGTGGTGGGGTGCTATTAAAGTTTCCTACGGAGGTGAGAAGCTAGACATACCTCAGAGGAATGAAAAATCTAGGTTTCTATCTTTGTGCAAAGCTGACTTGAACATACTCTGGGAGAGGTCTCTTTTACTCTAGTACTTTCTCTGTATCTGCATATGGTTGGGTCATAGAGCTCTAATTTTTATTAGCTGCAGGTTTATCTCTCCCTTTGAGTATGTTTATGAGGAACTAGGTTGTAGTGAGAGATCATGCCACCCTGGGAATCTTTCCAAAATATGTCTTTCATGACATTTTGCTCAAAGACAGCTGATGACATCTTGTTGCCTACAAGATAAAGCCTCTTACACTGTAAGATGTTTTAGGATATTCACAGTCTGGTCCCTCTTCGTTTCTATGACTTCTCCAACCATCCTCCTTCACCTCCCAAAATGTAGGCTCCAGCCCCACAGGACTACTGTCCATTCCCTAAACAGGCAGTGATTGAGCATCCATATATGAGCTTCTGTCTATCCTCACCGCCCCCCGTACCCCCCCCCCCCCACCAAAGCATGATCAGGTATGATGGGTGTTGTAGTCAATCACTGCTCCAAAACTCTGAGAGCATTTGTCCTAAGGGGTCCTGGGTAATTTCTGTGTTTTAATGAGTTCCTTTAGGATCTAGACTCCTTTGGGATCCAGAGCCCCTTAGTCCCAGGGATGTGTAGAACGGGAGATGTGAGAAGGGATGTTGCAGACACAAGTGACAACTACAGAGGCTGTCACTTTACATATCTTTGTAAATAAAGGTAAACAGGACCTTAGGTTAGTCTCCTGGAGTGCTCAGACACACTAAGTAAGTTGGGCAGAGGGTGAATGAGCTGGTCTCTTAGGGTCCTTCCAACCTGAGGGTCTTGCTTTCCCAGGTTGTATGATGTTCTGTAGGATGGTGCTTCGGGTATGGTAACCCTCCTTTTCTTTACTTCCCTGGCTCCCAAGACTTCCCCACATTCTAGAACTATTTTGATTGATGTTCATAGTTACATTGAGTCTTTTTATTAATTATAGCATTCATAAGTATTACTACATAATGCATCTCACAAGATTGTATCATTTTAACGGATCTCTGAGGCAAGCATTGAATACACAGGTTCTTAACCCTGGAATATATATTTGAATTACATTAGGAGCTTTAAAATTCTTTGGATAGCCCTCTCCCCTCAGGAATCTGATTACATTTACTGGTATAGTAATCAGTATTTTAAAAATGTGTGTCCTTACTACTTAAAGTGGTCCACAGACCAGCAGACTTGGCATCAGAAGATATAAAATTTAGTGCCTAAAAAAATGTAGAATTTTAGGCACCACTGCAAATCTACAACATCAAAATTAGCATTTCACAGGACCCCTAGGCAGTTCATACGTAGATTTTTAGAAGCACTGCCTCTTGGGCCTCCCAGACTGAGAACCATTGATTGGCCCTGTGAGCAAGATGAGAGGCATCGTTAATGGAGCAGCTGAAGCTCCTACGCCTGATCTGTGGCAGTGTCTGCTAGCTCTGTGGTCTGTGCTTCCTAATGAGACGTTCGCACCAGGGATGGTGCCCGCTCATTTTCCAGAGGAGAAAAATTCTGATAAATGAGGTGTATGAAACTTCACTTGATGTCATTATCTGCTGCAACACCAGCACATATGTCCACGTATAAAAAATTTTAATGTGGCTCAAACAGCATCAGCAGGGTGAAAATTCTAGCCATTGGACTCAGTTATGCTTCTTCAGGGAGGGAACTTTTAATATTCCTTAATGCTCCTACTGAGCTTTCTTAGCTCTGAGGGACTCGCTGAGGTGTGGGTGTCTGGAGAAGCACTGGAGTGAGGTCTCAAGGGTAGAAATTACCTTTATTTTTTCCTTTCCTCCACAAATTACTAAACCTGCCTATACGTGAGATTTTTTTTTTATGGCAATACCACTGAATCCTATGGATACAACACAAGGAAAAAGTGATGATGTGGATGTGTATACTGGGTTGTCTGTTTCGGTTAAAGAGCAGTGTGGTTGAAGTAGTCCAAATTTTCCATGAGTTAGAGATTATGTCAGGGAATTCTACAATAAAATGTCAAAAACTAGTAAGTTCTTGTTCTGAGAGTATTTAGTAGGAGTAGATATTCTAATAGGAGTTTGCTGTCTGTAAAGTTGAAGGAATGCATGTCTCAGCCTGAAGAACAGCCAATAAATATTTACGAAACACTGGCTACATCCAGGCACCGTGTCAGGTGCTGGCACTTCTGTAGTCATGAAGGCAGACACGGCCTTTCCTGCATGAAGTTTACAGTCCATTAGGGAGGACAGCTATACACAATACCTTGGGCAGTATTAGGGAAAAGCACAGGATCCTGTGGAAACATAGCAGGATCACTTGGTCTGGAGGGGACAGGAGAGGTGTAGCTGAGTAAGTGATGTTTAATATGCCTGAAGGATAAGTAGGGCAAACCCAGGTGAAGAGGCAGGGGGAGGAAGATGCTAGGCATGGGGGCCAGCAAGTGGAAAAGTCTGGAGGCAAGAAATTGTGACTTACAAGTCCAGCGTTTCTGGAGAGGTGAGTGTATGTCACTATGGGGCCAGATGAAGCTGTGGAGGTAAGCCAGGGTCAGGTCAGGAAGCAACTTTGTGACCTTGAAAGGAATTTTGCCTTTATCTTAAGAGCAGTGAGAATCTATGAAGACTTTAGGGAGAATGATGATCAGATTTTCATCTTAGAATACTGCAGTGTGAACGAAGGATATTAAAGGAGAGTATTCAAGCATGGACACAAGGAGATGAGTGAAGAGGCTGTTTCAATAGTGCAGACAAGACATGATGTCAGCCCAGCCAGGATAGTGATGGTTGAGATAAGGAGTGGATAAATGAGAAAGAGATTTATCGTGTCAGAATATATAGGACTTCATAGACTGGATGTTGATAATGACAGAAAGGAGGGAGTAAAAGAAGACTCTCAGGTGTATGACTTGAGCCTGGATTTCTTTTACTGAGATATGAGAGACTTGGAGGCACAGATTAGGAGAGGGGCAGGGTGAGATCATGAGCTTTATTTGCGGTCTGTGGAGCTTAAAATGCTTGTGATATTATATGATGAGATAATCACTACACAGTTGGGAATACAGTTCTGACGGTGATAGAGGTCTATCCATGAGGTTTAGATGGTAATTTATGCCATGGGAGTAAGCAACTCTTTTAGGGCTGTCTATGTAGCATTATAAGAGAATAGGATTTAGGAAAAAAAGCCCAAGAAAACACCAATATATAAAATTCTGTTATGGAAGACACCAATCACAGTTATTGAGAATGAAGAGCTAAGAAACAGGATGATTGCACAGAAGGGATCAGAATGTTTCAGAAGGTATGGAAGAGTCAATATTATTAAATGCTAATTAACTAGAAAAAAATTTGAGCCAGAAAATGATTAGGTTAAGTGATTTGTTATATTTGTGGTTATAGAGTGTTGTGGATAACAAGGATGAAATCAATCATTGCAGAACAACTTACAGACCATGTATCTTAGAAATATTTTCATTTTTATTCAGTTTTTTAATGGACACCATTATTTCCTCCTAAAGGACACAGACCATGACAAGAAGAAATCAAACTATTGTCTCAGTCTTCCTCCTTCTGGGCCTGCCAATTGAGCCAGAGCAACAAAATCCGTTTTATGTCCTGTTCCTGGCCATGTATCTTATCACCGTACTGGGGAATCTCCTCATAATTTTCCTGATTTGCCTGGACTCCCACCTGCACACACCCATGTATTTTTTTCTCAGCAATTTGTCTTTCTCTGATATCTGCTTCTCTTCTGTGACCATTCCGAAATTGTTGCAAACCATGCAGAGCCAAGACTCATCCATCCCCTATGCCGGCTGCCTGACCCAAATGTACTTCTTTCTGTTTTTTGCAGACCTGGAGAGTTTCCTCCTAGTGGCCATGGCCTATGACCGCTATGTGGCCATCTGCTTCCCCCTCCACTACACCATTATCATGAGCTCCAAGCTCTGTCTCTCCCTGGGTGTGCTGTCCTGGGTGCTGACCATGTTCCATGCTATGTTACACACTCTCCTCATGGCCAGATTGTGTTTCTGTGCCGACAACATAATCCCCCACTTTTTCTGTGACATGTCTGCTCTGCTGAAGCTGGCCTGCTCTGACACTCGAGTCAATGAGTTGGTGATATTTATCATGGGAGGGCTCATTCTCGTCATCCCATTCCTACTCATTGTCATGTCTTATGCACGGATCGTGTCCTCCATCCTCAGGGTCCCTTCTGCCAGGGGCATCCGCAAGGCCTTCTCCACCTGTGGCTCCCACCTCTCCGTGCTGTCTCTTTTCTATGGGACAGTTATCGGTCTCTACTTGTGCCCTTCAGCTAACAATTCTGCTGTTAAGGAGACTGTCATGGCCGTGATGTACACTGTGGTCACCCCCATGCTGAATCCCTTCATCTACAGCCTGAGGAACAGAGACATGATGGGAGCTCTGGGAAGACTCCTTTTCAAAAAGAAAATTTCCTTCTCTGTATAATGGTAAAGCTGAGGATTTTTACATAATTTTATCAAGTAGATACACTGATGTTAGTATGGGAATATTGACCCAGGCTTCTTTTTTTTCTCCCACCATGAATTTTTCTATTAAAAAGACCTACTAAATAATTGTTCAGTACCTAATACAAATGAAGTGGGGTTATGTGGTTGCACTCAGAAAGGGGATCCCAATGACCTGGTAGCAGGTTCTTTCTATTTGCTCTTCCCAGGTGACCCTGAAGAAACATTATTTTTAAACTTTTAATTGAGCTTTCTGTTTCCAGTTGTGAAACAACTAATATGTTATGTGTTTTGTTTGTTTGTTTTTTAACTAAAACTCTGCTTTAAGTAATACCCTGCTCTCCCAGGTCAATACTGACTAAAACTCAAGCCTCTCACTCCTCTGCTTACTTTCACTAAACTGGACTTTCATTGTCGAACGCAGATTTTTACGTACTTCTTCCTGAACAAGTGTTCGCGTTATTTTGTCTCCTCTTCTCCTTTGATTTATTTTCATGTCTACATTGTCTTTTTGACCTGATCTGAACCTAAGATGAACTTTCTATCTCATTTGCTACAATAGTTTGTTTTTGCCTGGGAGCTAACCCATACCTGGAGCTCTATAAGTTACTCACACAGGTATGGGAAAGCCAGAGCCTGGTTAAAGCCTTACTGTTTAAGGCTGTCTTCCTCCTACTTAGTATTTTGAATTTTTTCAACAAATTTTACATCCATGAACTTATGCTACTCTTATGATTACACCACAAAGGAATCTTATTACCATCTTAAAGATTGAAAATGTGGAATTTGATAACTTGCCAAAGTCCCAGAATTGGTCAATATTGAGGCTAAGATCTCAGGCTATCTAATTTTAGAGTTTCTTCTTATTTCCCCCACCTCAGAAATAAGGGAAAAGCCATTGATTTTTCAGTCAGCCCCATGTATAGCATTGTCTAGAATTCTAACTTTGGACTGTTCATTTCCTGTTATCTCTGATAGCATCTAAATCCATTATTTTAATCTTCTCAAAAATACTGCCTACCTCCACATATCTATCTGAAGTCTAAATCTTTTACAAGTTCTCAATTTTTATTTTCATCTTCACAGTAGACCTCTCCCCTTGATGCTCTATGAGCACTTCAATCTTAACCTACAAAAAATTGAATTTTTATATTTCCCCCCAAACTTCCACTTTGCTTAAACTCCATTTGTTTTTAGCTTTACAGAAGTATAATTGATAAAAATTGCACACATTTAACGTAGACATCTTGATGAATTTAGACTTATGCATACACCCATGATACTATCACCACAACCAAGATATTAAATATATCCATAATATCCAAGAATTTCCATGTGTTCTTTTGCGTTTTTTTCTTTTTTGATAAGAATACTTTACATGGAATCTATCCTCAGAGTGCACAATGCCATATTATTAACTGTAGGTATTATATTGTACAGCAGATCTTTAGAACTTAGTCATCTTATGTAACAGAAAGTTATACCCATTGAAAAACCAATTCTGCATTTCTTCGTCCCTCTGCCCCCAACAAACACTATTCAATTCTCCTTGTATGTGGTTATGACCATTTTAGACACCTCTTATCCAGAATAAAATCATGCAGTATTTGTCCTTCTGTTTGTGGTTGTTTCACTTAGCATAACATCCTCTAGTTTCATCCATGTTGTCATGAATTTTAAGATTTCTTTCTCTTTTTTAAAAAAAAGATGAATGATAAGCCACTGTATGTATGTACTACATTTTCTTTATCCATGTATCTGTTGATGGACATTTGGGTTGTTTACATATCTTGGCTATTATAAATAATGCTGCAATGAACACAGAAGTGCAAATGCCTTTTTGAGATCCTGGTATCATTTCCTTTGGATATATACCCACATTGGGATGGCTGGATCACATGGTAGTTCTATTTTTAGTTATTTTGAGGAGACTCCTTACAATTTCCCATTGTGGCTGTACATTCCCACCAACTATACGTAAGAGTTCTCTTTTTCGGGGATACCTGGTTGGCTCAGTCTTTGAAGCATCTGACTTCGGCTCAGGTCATGATCTCACGGTTCTTGGGTTATAGCCCCGCGTCGGGCTCTGTGCCGACGCTACTCTGTGCCGAAGCTGTCAAGCTTCGAGCCTGGAGCCTGCTTTGGATTCTGTGTCTCCCTTTCTCTCTGCCCTTCCTCCATTCGTGTTCTGTCTCTCTCTCCAAAAAATAAATAAATATTAAAAAATTAAAAAAAAAAAGCGTTCTCCTTTTTCACCACTTGTTATCTTAAAAAAGTAATATCCATCCTAACAGATATGAGGTGATATCTCATTGTGGTTTTTGATCTGCATTTCCCTGGTGTATTAGTGATATTGAGCAACTTTTTCATATACCTAATGGCCGTTTGTACATCTTCTTTGGAGAAATGTCTATTCAAGTCTTTTACTCATTTGTTAATCAGGTTATTTATTTTTATTTTGCTGTTGAGTTGTAGGAGAATCTTACATAGTTTGTATATTAACCCTTAATTAGATATTTGCAAATATTTTCTCCCATCCAATAGGATGCATTTTCATATTGTTTCCTTTGCTGTGCAGAAGCTTTTAAGTTTGATGTCTCATCAGAAGGTATCAAGTACTTAGGAATAAACTTAACCAAGAGGTGGAACACTTGTATATTAAGACTATAAAACACTGATGAAAAAATTTAAAGCAGATACATTAATGGAAAGACAGCCCTTGTTCATGGATTGGAAGAATTAATATTGTTAAGATGTCCATATTTCCCAATATACAGATTCACTGCAATCCTTATTTTTTTTCCTCTTTTTTAATTAATTATTTTAGGGGCCCCTGGGTGGCTCAGTTGGTTAAGCCTCCAGTTTTAGCTCAGGTCACAATCTCACAGTTCATGGGTTAGAGCCCTGCGTTGGGCTCTGGGCTGACAGCTCAGAGCCTGGAGCCTGCTTCAGATTCTGTGTCTCCTGCTCTCTTTGCCCCTCCCCCACTCATACTCTGTCTCTGTCTTTCTATCTCCCCCAAATGAATAAACATTAAAAAATATTTTTTTCAATTTAAATTCAAGCTAATTAACATACAGTGTAGTCTTGGCTTCAGGAGTAGAACCATGTGATTCATCTCTTACGTATGACACCCAGTGCTTCACAGTAATCCTTATTAAAATCCCAATTGCGTGTTTTATAGAAAAAATCCTACAATTCATATGGAACTATATCAGACTCTGCAAAACCAAAGAAATCTTGAGCAAAAAGAACAAAGCTAGAGGCATCATAGTTCCTAATTTCAAAATATATTACAAAGCCACAGAAATCAAAACAGTAAGGTAGTGGTGTAAAGATAGACATACAGTCCAATGGAACAGAGTAGAGGACCCAGATGTAAATTCATGTAATATACAATCAACTGATTTTCAAATAGGGTGCCATGAACATGCAATGGGGCAATGATAGTCTCTTCAACAAGTGGTGTTGTGAAAACTGGATATCCATATGAAAAAAGAATTCAGTTGGATCTCTTATCTTACACCATACGCCAAAATCAACTCAAAATAGAGTAAGGGGTTAAATAGAAGACCTAAAACTGTAAAACTTTTTGAAGAAAATATATAGGGAAAATTTCTTGGCATTGATCTTGGCAGTGATTTCTTAGATTTGACACCAAAAGCCTAGGTAGCAAAACTAAACATAGACAAGTGGGACTGCATCAAATGATATTTCATTTCTTGATTCATATTATCTTCCATCCAGTTACCCAAAGAACTGTTTGTGTGTCTATGTATTTATGAAAATAGGTTATTATTCAGTTTTTCTTTTTCCATTTACTATTTTGCTCACTGATTTATTTTAATATTCTCCATGTGTTACTTAAGGTACAAATAAACCCTGAAATTTCAGTGGTGTGATACAGTGAATGTTATTTTCTTGCTCATGTAAAATTGAGTTGGCATTGACACATGGAGAGCACTATGTTTCATGTTATCAGGTTGATGGAGGCTCCATAGTCACCTCAGGTGTTGACGTTCAGCCCCGAGGAAGACAGTGGGTAGAGGACGACAGTGAAGAGTTTAATGAACTGGAACTAGAAATGGCATACATCACTTTGACTTACATTTTGTTCTCCAGAACTCAGCCACATAGCTCAACTTAGATAAAAGGTGGATAAGGGGATGTCACAGACTGCCATGCAGATAGATAGTTAGATAGATAGATATTATTTTGAAATAATTACAGAGTCACAAGAAATTTAAAAAAAATAGTACAGAAAGATAATTTGTACCTCATCTAGGTTCCTTCAGTGGTACCATTGTATATAAGTAGAATACATTAACAAAACTAGGAAATTGACTAGCACATCACAATGAACTGGACCACAGACTGGATTCTACCAGTTTTGCTGCACTCATTCTTTTATGAAGATGATGATGATGATGTCTTTGTGTGTAGTTCATGATAATTTATTACATATATGGATTCATATAACCATCAACAAAATCAAACTCCAGAACTGTTGTCTCACCACAGAGGATGTCTGCTGTGTTACATCTTCATACTTCAAACTGTAGTATATTTTGAGAGTAAAAGGGGTCTGGGACTATAATGGGACTGTACAGGAAACACAGGTATATATGATAATCTTAATTTTAGTTTATATAAATGGGATCATAGATGTTCAAAAAGCAACAGAGGGCAGAGAGAGAGAGAGAGAAAGGGAAAATGAATGAATGATGAGTACCTCACATGCCATGTAAGAGTCTAGTGTGTAGAGATACATATCTTTTCCCTTTGTGTAAATACAGGCATGCATTTCATTGGTGATGTACTAAAGAAATATTAGCTGTTTATTTTTTTTTTTAATTTTTTTTTTCAACGTTTTTATTTATTTTTGGGACAGAGAGAGACAGAGCATGAACGGGGGAGGGGCAGAGAGAGAGGGAGACACAGAATCGGAAACAGGCTCCAGGCTCCGAGCCATCAGCCCAGAGCCTGACGCGGGGCTCGAACTCACGGACCGCGAGATCGTGACCTGGTTGAAGTCGGACGCTTAACCGACTGCGCCACCCAGGCGCCCCAATATTAGCTGTTTAAAAAATGAAAGAAAACTGGCTACATTTGACCTACTGTTAGACAATATCACTATAAAATGGGGTCCCTTGCTGGGGGATTTTCTTTTTTAATTTAAATATAGTTAACATACAGTATTATATTAGTTTCAGGTGTACAATATAGTGATTCAACAATTCTTTACGCAGTGCTATCCTGATCCCCCCCACCTGCCTCCCCACTGGTAACCATCACTTTGTTCTCTGTAGTTGAGTCTATTTCTTGGTTTCTCTCTTGCTTTCTTCTCTGCTTGTTTCTTAAATTCCACATATGAGTGAAATCATATGGCTTTGTCTTTCTCTGACTGACTTATTTCGCTCACCATAATACTCTCTAGCTCCATCCATGTTGTTCAAATGGCAAGATTTCATGACTTTTTTGTATGGCTGAATAATATTCCAGTGTGTGTGTGTGTGTGTGTATGTGTGTGTGTGTGTGTGTATTTCTTTATCCATTCATCAGTCTATGGACACTTGGACTGTTTCCATAATTTGGCTATTGTAGATAATGCTGCTATAACCACTAGGGTGCATGAATCCCTTTGAATTAATGTTTTGTATTTTTGGGTAAATACGTAGTAGTGCAATTACTGGATCATAAGATAGTTCTATTTTTAACTTGTTGAGGAACCTCCATACTGTTCTCCAGAGTGGCTGCACCAGTTTGCATTCCCACCAGTAGTGCAAGAAGGTTCCCCTTTCTTCACATTTGCCAACTCTTGTTGTTTCCTGTATTGTAGATTTTAACCATTTGACAGGTGTGAGGTGATGTCTCCTTGTGGTTTTGATTTGTGTTTTCCTGATGTTGAGCGTTTTTTTATGTCTCTGTTGGCTATCTGTATGTCTTCTTTGGAGAAATGTCTGTTCATGTCTTCTGCTCATTTTTTAATTGGATTATTTGTTTTTTGAGTGTTGAGTTGTATCAGTTCTTTATATATTTTGGATATTAACCCTTTATCAGATATGTCATTTGGAAATATCTTCTCCCATTCTGTAGGTTGCCTTTTAATTCTGTTGATTTTTTTCCTTTTCTTTGTAGAAGTTTTCATTTTGAGGTAGTCCCAATGGTTTACTTTTAATTTTATTTCCTTTGCCTCCGGAGACATATCTAAAAAAATGTTGCTATGGCCAAAGTCAGAGACATTATTGCCTGTGCTCTCTTCTAGGATTTTTGTGGCTTCAGGCCTCACCTTTAGGTCTTTAATCCATTTTGAATTTATTTTTGTGTATGGTGTTAGAAAATGGTCCAGTTTCATTCTTTTGCATGGTGCTGTCCAGTTTTTCCTACAACATTTGTTGAAGAGACTGTATTTTTCTATTGTACATTCAGTTTCTCCTTTGTTGAAGACTAATTGACCATATAATTGTGGGTTTATTTCTTGGTTTTCTATTCTGTTCTCTTAGTCTATGTGTCTATGTTTATGCCAGTACCATACTGTTTTTATTAATACGGTTTTGTAATATACTTGAGCTCTGGAATTGTGATGCCTCCAGCTTTTCTTTGGAAATAACTTTTTTTT